GGTGGGCCCCGCCGTGGAAGGCACTTGCTGATGGCCACAATGCCCAGCCGCCGTCTGCTCCCAGAGCGCCATGGCCGCCCCCCCCCCCCCCCCCCCCCGGCTCTCCCCAGGAAGCTGCCTTCCCTGCAGAGATGTTTGTTTTCCTGAATTCACAGACGCAAGCAGCTCAGGAATGAGCTGTTTTATGGTCCTTGTGCCTATGACTTGTCCCCAGTGGCCAGCCGTCAGGAAGGCAGATCTGCATGACCCCTGGGCCAGCAAACCCAGGGAGACAGGACTCAGCCGCCGTCGCTCCTTGCTAGTACCCCCTGGCCCCGGGCACGCAGGCCACTGCTGCTCGGCTCACAGACACCCATGCCAGTACCGGGCTGTGGCATCAAGCACCCTCCTGAGTAGCAGAGCCTGCTGCCCCTCCTCCCTCCTGCATCTGGGGAGCCCACAACTCCTGGTCCCCCTGGCTGCCTGGGAAGCTGGAAACGGCAGACTTCATTCTGTCCTTTCTGAAACAGCCTCTTAGGGAGGATGGAGGATGGGGACCAGCCCAGACAGCACAGGGGACACCTGGTGCCCAGGCTCTCTGTGTATCACTGGTTTAACTCTGAAAGTCCCTGCAGTTAGGTCCAGACCTTATTCTCGTGCCACAGATAGGCTCCGAGAGGTTGGGTGACCTGCGCAGGGCCCCCCAGCTGGGACGTGGTGAATGTGGGCTGTGACAGCCCCATTTGGGGCTCTACCCCTGCCTGGCTGCTCTCCCCCCGGCATCCGTTCCTTGTGCTTCTGATGCTATCTGTCTATGACTGTGTCTGTGGGCTGGAGAGTAGGGGGAAGCTCTGCTGATGAGCCTTCCAGGGGCTCTCCTCACTGGCCTGAGCTGAAGTCCCTTCCCCGAGAGGAAGTCAGTTCTGTGCACCATCCCCCTGGGCCTGCTGGGTCCAGGTGATAAACCCCCCAGGTGCTGGCCAGTGGGCAGGTGCAGGAAGCGGGACCTGTCGCATGGACTCCTATTCGTGCGACAACGCAGCTGGATCTGGAAGGAGCTCTCTGGCGGAGTCCTGTGGACCCAGGCCCTCACTGCCTCGTACTGCAGGCTCCGCGTGGAGCTCAGGCAGGAGGAACCCTGTCTGGATGGGGGCTGCATGCTGTCCCCCCCATCCCACAGCGTGGCTTCTCCAGCATCAAAGGTGCCGCTGACCCCCACAGTCCCACCGGGCCTGCTGGCCCAGGCCCTCAGCCCTGGCCTCTCGGCTCGCTCTGCCAGGACACAGCACAGCCCAGGAGGCGGCGCTTCCCGGAACCCCCAGGTGAAGGCGAAGGGCTGTCGGGCTGTGAAAGGCTGGATGCAGGGGCGGGTTCCGGCCTTTCCACTCAAGACTCTAAATTTAGACACACGGGGTAAACAGAGCCCCGCAGCCGCCCGTTCCTGGAGACCCCCAGGCGCTGCACAGAGGGGCCCATGTGGGCAAGGGCTGCTGGGCCTGCACTCAAACTTCAACACAAACAAACGCGTTTTGTTCCAAGGGCAAAGAAGAAGTCTGAAAGTCTCCCCAGACACCTCGCAGCCGAGCTCGGGCGCCACACTTGGGGCCCAGGAGGCCTCCCCAGAGAGGGGACGGGAGGGGACTCTTGGGCATGGAGCCCCCGCCCTGCTTGGCAGCCGTGGAACTGACCCGGCTAGGGGAAAGCCTCCCCACAGCGTTGACCCAGACTGGGGTCTTGGGCCGAACCCTGTTCCCCCAGTTCACACCCACCGGCCCTCGGACTTCGATCTTATCTGGAAACAGGGTCTTCAAAGACGGGACGAGGATGAGGATTGTGTGGGTGGGTGGGCTCTAAATCCAGTGTAGCCTCCTCCTAAGACAGGAGAGACGTGCAAAGGGTGATGGGGGGGGGGGCAGGACCCGAGTCCCCTGCAGCAAGAGGTGAGGAGGAGCCCCGAGTCCCGAGGAGCGCACTGCCATCCTGCGTCAGGACGCCTGGCCCGGGCACTGCCACAGGCATCTACTGTGGAAACTGCCTAGTGTTGGAAGCAAACCCGCCGCTGCCCGGGGAGCCACGAGATGGGCAGATCAACCTGTTGATTCACGCTCCTCACAAGCATGGGCTGGGCACCGAGGCACCCCATCTCCAGTCCACTGGGCAAGGGAGGTGCACACCCACCCAGGTGGACTCTGCGCCCAGATGCCTCTCTTAGGGTCCATGCTTTAAGTCTCTTCTGGGCTGTGGGTATGTGGGGGGCTGAGTCCAGGCGAGGCCCACAGCACGCAGCAGGGGTCAGAAAGGCTGGGCCTCCTGAAAGCCCCCGCTGCCCTGAGGTAGCTCCCAATACAGTGCCTCTCCCTGGCCCAGCTGTCCCCCATCTGCCCCATGGGGAGCCCTGGGGTGCTGCTTCACTCCCCGGGGGATGAGGGAAGCCAGGACGAGAGGAGACAAGTGCTTGGGACTCAGCCCCCGGCCCCCCGGCCTGCGCTGCTCAGCTCTGTCCCTCCGAGAAGTGCCAGGAACACCACCCAACTCCGCCTCAGGGCCTCTCCTGCCGACAGCTGCAGGGGCAGCCGCTCTGTGAATGGAGTTGTTGGCCCCTAAGCAGGGCAGCGGGGGGCCCTGGGCAGCCAGGGTGCAGGGCCTGACAGGGACAATGGCCAGGCCAGGGTGCATGGTGGCCGAGGCGCAGGCTGCAGCTGACGGCTAGGCAGGGGCACCGGTGCCAAGCCGGGCACAAAGGGGCCGTGTTCCCGGCCGGCGGGCGGATGTTTGCACAGGTGTGGGAGTGGGAGCGCGGCTCCGCTGAGGGCCAGGGGGCCGGGGGGCCCGGGGCCGGGGGCCAGGTCGGGGAGCAGCTCCAACAGGCGGCTGGAAAGGCAGGCGGGGCAGCGCCAGGACTGGGCACCCCTCACCAGCCTTCCCACAGGCAGTCGCCCACTCGCTCCAGCTGCACCCTGGCCTCCACTGCCCATCAACCACCAGGGGATGCTGGCTCGGGCTGCCTGTGCCCCCACACAGGGCTGCCATGTCACCAGGGATGCAGGCCCCCCATCAGGCAGGCTCCTTTCCTGGAGGCTGAGCCCTCCTGCCCAAACCTGCTCGGGCCTGCCACACCAGGGCCCAGGGACACGGGCCCCCAGGAGGCGGGCAGAGGCTGCATCTGGGCCTGCCTAGCTTGGGAGCTGTGTCAGCACGTTTAGCATGTCCTGGGCTTCCCGGAGCTGCCTGGCATGTTGGAAGCTTGTAGAAAACACACCGACTTGGCCAACACCAGGAGCTCCTACTGTGTGGCCACCTCATGGGGGACATAGGACCATGTGCCCATACCCTCCATGAGCTCAGTGGCCTCCCCTATGGTGGGGGAAGGGCAGGAGCCCAAGAGCCCGTGAACACAGCTCTTGGGCACACGGGCCTGGGCGGGCACGGTGGCCTGCCCCGCTCCGTGCCCCAGAACCTGTGCTGCTCCCAAGGCACGGCCCAGCTCTGTGGGCTGCCCTCTGTCCTCTCGGCTGCCGGGTCCCACCCAGGGCCATCACCAGCCTGGCTCTCCCTGGGCAGGCACGCCTGAGCTCAGGAGCCATGGCTTGAGTCTGGCCTGAGAACTGCCCAGGCTCTGCCCCTCCTCCCAGGGCTGCCCGGTGCGAAGGCATCTCCCAGGTCTGGTGGCCTCTGGCTGAGGGGAGATGGCACGGAGGTGGGTGGAGTGACAGCTGCACTCCCACCAGAGCCACTGCTACTGGGGGCACCGCGTCCCTGCAGGAGCAGCCCTGAAGCCAGTCCACGATGGAGCACTCCCAGGCTATATGACAGCCACCAACTCCTGGAGGGACATTGGTGGCCCAGCCTGGCCCCTCAGACTTCTTCAAAACACAAGCTCAAAGTTGAAGAACTTGAAGACCCCAGAGCGTTCTGTGTTGCGTGTGGGGCCTGCACTGCTAGCTTCAAGTGTGAACCCGGGCACAGGGTTCTGCTCAGATGAGGAGCCCCTGCCAACGAGGCAGGGGTTTGGGGAAGTAGAGCCCACGTCCTGCACCTCCTCGGCCCAGGCCCCAGTGGCCCAGCCAGGACACCCCGTCCCGGAGGCCCTGACTTACCACCCCCCACCACAGTGCGTCCGCGTAGCTGCCGAACTCGATGCGACCCGACTCGTTCACTGCATCCTTCTCGGCCAGGTACACGAAGTAGGAGGAGAAGATGAGGCCCAGGAAGCCGATGTAGAGCGTCGTTATCAGCTCCTAGGTCAGCAGAAGGGGCAGCGTCAGCCCGTGGCTCGCAGCACCCTGGACCGAGCGCCCTCAGTGAAAAGGCTTCAGGCCGTCATAAAAGGCAGCGAGGCTCTGCCTTGGCAGCAGGTCCAGCATCTACCAGGCCATGCCGCGTGGACGCAGTGCGATTCGCGCACAGGGTTGAAACTCCATGGGTCACAGCTCTGAGACGGCGGGCCTGGGTTCTGCCACCCAGGAGCAAGCCAACTCCAGCTAGCGCCTTGGACTAACTTGGGCAGCCTCTGCTGGCCAGTGACTGCCCACAGTGGGGTGGAACTTCTGTGAGATGAAGGGCACCCCATGTCCCTCAGAGCCTGGGCAGGTGTGGCCTGTGCCAGTCAGAGGCCCATGGGACAGGGTGCCGGGTCCGGAGCCCCCTGTCATGGGGTTGTTTGTGGTTGCCTGGATTTAGGTTTCTGAGCCTCAGAGACCACGGTTTTTTGCATTTTGCTTTTCTCTTCCGTTTACCTAACCGTCCTTGGTCCCCAGCTTAAAGGAAGGTGGCTTTATTTTCACACTGGCCTGGCAGGCTAAAGGTGCTGGCACATAAGTGTGGGTGGAGTGCCCCAGTGGGCTCAGGTTGGGGGTGGGATTCTGGGCCTTATCCCTGCACCCTGTGCCCTGGCACCTACCTGGCCCTAGGTTGCTCGACCGGGGACCAGAGTACTCACACCCTGCACCTCGCCCCAGGTGGGCCACGTGTGTGTTAAGCCGTCCTGGTAATGATTGTTCTGTCCCCTGTCTCACCCTCAGCCGGTCCCCAGCACCCCACCTTGGACCACCCACCTGGCGGTGGATGAAGACCACAGAGCCCAGGAGCCTCCAGGTGCCTCCCTGGCGATCCACATGCAGCATCCGGAGGATCTGGAGGAAGCGGATACCCCTGGGAAGGAGAGAGCAGGACTGCGAGGACCACAGCTGTCCCGGGGGCACCTGGGCCCAGGGGACAGTGGATGGGAAGGTGAGACAGGTGCACTTCTGTGTTGGCTGGGACCATCTCACCTCCAGGCAGACCCCTGGTCAGGGACCGCTGAATCCCCTTCCCAGTGCAGCCCCTCAAAACTGGCTCTGTCCACCCACTCGCCAAAGGGTCAGGGCTGGGATCACCTGACATTTCCCAGACTGTCTTCTGGGGAGGCCTAGGGTCACCCCAGTTTATAGATGAGCAGCAGACAGTCAGGTCACACCCGAGTCCCAGAAGCCAGGAGCTCTGGTGTGGGTCTTGCACCCAGGGCTGCCTGAGGCCTCGAGGACCCGCCCGCTCCAGCCCTCTGCTCAGCACGGAGGCGGGTGGAGCTGTGACCACCCTCCCTGGGAGGAGGGATGTGTGGTGGCCCATGAGCTCCCTCCCAGCCTGTGGGGGGAGGCCAGCAGGGAGGGCCAAGCTTGCGTACCTGATGGCGGACGTTGCGAACACCTGGCCCTTGGAGCCCACACAGAGGACAACCGTGGAGGCCACCACCACGATGAGGTCTGTGGGGGAGGGGTGGCTCATGTGACCCATGGCAGCCATGGGGCAGGGGCCACGGCCCACTCCTGGGGAAGGGGATGGGGCCCAACCACAGGACCCAGGAGCAACTGGGTGGGGAGCCAACAGTGTCAGAGCTGGAGAGGCCCCGAGCACCCACGGGAACCCTGGCCCCAGCCAGAGCCCGCAGGGGCCAGAGAGGACGGAGCCTGGACCTCAGGCCTCCACGGTGACTGTCCCACTGCCCAGCCGTGCCGAGGAGGGTCCCAGAAGGCTGCGAAAGGCCAACTCCCGAGCAGTCTAACCTGGCAGGGACCAGGTGGGTGGTCACCCAGCTGGGTGGCGTCCTGCCTGTCACAGGCAGGCAGAGCAGCAGGGCTCTGGGTCCTTGGAGGATACTGGTGGTAGCTGCAACTGGGGTGATTTCTGGGGTGAAGCGTCTGTGGGGGAGCGTGACTCACCGATGACGGAAATGGGCTTCCGAGCAAAGCGCAGCCGTCCCCAGACGCCCACGTACTTGCTGCGGCAGCCTGCAGACCAGAGGCGGACCACGTACTCCGTCCCAAAGAACACCACCAGGACGATCTCCTGAGGAAGGAGGGAGGGCGTGAGCTCACAGCACGGACGGGCTCCCGCGCCAGGGTCCTTTCCCACAGGCCACCCCTAGCAGCAGGCCTCCTCCCTGTCGGGGGCAAGATGGTGCCTACACGTGACACCCACCTAGAGAAGCCAGTGGCCTAAACCCCGGGCCACCAACAGTGGACCCCAGTGGAGTCGCTGCTCTTTAGACCAGGGTCCTGCCGAGCCAGGGCCAGGGCAGCTGGGGGTCAGGTGCCCTTGCCTGACCACACGGTGGCCAGAACTAATTTAAGCCCCAGATGATGCCCCAGAACCCAGGCCCTGCATCTCAAGGTGGGGTGGAGAACATCTGCCCTCTGGGACTGTCCCCTCGTCTCACGCACGGCCACACCACTGGGGCACGGCAGCTGCCTCTGGTGGCCTGGACTGGGCCTGTGTGCGAGGGCCTCGGGTGGGGGCTGGGGGCACGAGGATGGTGCAGAGGCCCCCACAAGCTCTGGAGTCAGGTGCTCTGGGGAGTAGGCTGGCATCTGGGTCACGGGACTGGACAGATGGACAGAAATTTGTAGTAGAGAGGGACAGGGGTGGATGAGGGGACAGACAGTGGACAAATGAGGAAGAATGGTGTGGAGCCAAGTCCAGAAGAAGCGGCCATTAGCCTTCTCAACAAAACAGTGAGGCAGAGGGTTCCCGTCCCAGATGGGACCCCAGAGGTGACATGGAGGCCTGCCCCAGCTGTCACCGAGCCCGTACCACTACTGCCCCTTCTCACAGCCCCTGAAATGGTAGGGAAGGCCCAGTGTGGGGCAGGGCCTCAGCCCTGGCTCCCTGTGGTCCAGCACTAGGGGAGGGGTCAGCATCTTGCCTCCAGGTGTGGCCCCGGGGACCTGACTTACGCCCGGTGTCTGGAGGGCCAAGCTGTGGCTGCCTTGCCAAGGGGTGGTCAGCTCGCAGTCTGAGAGCAGCCAGCCAGGTTCCCAGCACGTGGCCACTGACCCAGGAACCAGGGTGTCTGAAGTGAGCAGCCTCTTCCCTTTGCTCCCCCAGGCTGCTGAGGACTGCCCTTCCGCCCAGGACCAGGCAGGCAGCCCTGGGCCGCCCACTTTCCGGGGTCCCCGATGGCCGCTGTGCCGCCCTCTTTCCTACCAACCCCACAAGGCAGAGGTTTCCAATGGGGTAGGAAGACAGCCTCAGGGCCGAATCCTGCCCTGGGCCTCACTGTCCCCATCTGTCCCGTGGTGGGCGAGGTGAGGACTAATGCCAGTGTGCACTTGGCATGACCTGCAGCCCACGATCCAGCTCCCAGCCAACGCGGGCATGCAGGAGGCCCCGCGGGGAGCCCAGGCTGGAGGCTGAACCAGTCCCCCATGTGGAGCAGGGGACGGCACAAACCCGCGAAGCCACAGCGCGTGCGGCCTGCAGGCCTGCTCCAGCTGGAGCCCTGCCCGCTCCCTTGGGAGTCCAGCATGGGAAGGCTGCTGTGCGGCTGGGTGAGACTGGCTGGCGCTGCCCACACCACTGGCCTGCCAGGGAATCACTGAGAGGGTGGCCGGATGCTGCATCTCTGGCTCCCAAATGCTGTTAATTAGGACAAAATAATGTTCACACCATCCAGCCTGTGTTCAGGGCCAGCTCAGTGGACAACGGGAGGCAGTTTGGAAAAGTTTGATGCCTTTCTCATGCAAAAAAGCGGGGGGATGTGACCCAGAATCTGGGGGTGGCCCAAGGGAGAGCCAGGGGTGCTGGCACCACAGGCTCGGTGGCTTCTCCGAGGGTTGTGGTCCCAGCTCTGCCCTCAGCTCCTGGGAACTTGGGGGGGTGGCGTTGGGGAGTGGCTGAGCCCACCCGGGCAGATGCGTCCCCCTTCCCAGACCCCAGGTTGGCACTCAGTGTGCATCTGCCGGCTGAATGGAGGGGGGAAGGGGCCGAGAGACCAGAAGCAGGCACTGGCGTGGCTGGGGTCCCTGAGGAGCTGGCGCTGCAGGGACACTGTCGTGGCACGGTGTGTCTTTGGCTAACATCAAACACCAAGCTCCTGGTGCCTGACGCCGATGTGAGGGTGCCTGTGGCTTCATGGGAGATGGCTCCCCTGACCACTGGTGGCCCTGGTGGGAAGCAATAGCAGCCCAGGGGCAGCAGACCGTGCCCACTGACTGACCATACAGCAAGTTTCCCTCATGTTGAAGTACTTTTCGATTACTTAAAAGCCTTCCCCAGCATCCTAAGCAGAGTTGGAGCACTGATGTGCTTGGGTACACCTTGAAGTGGTGGCATTTGGATGGCTCAGGGAGAGCAGCCACCCCGCTGGAGGGGTCAGGGCGGAGTGATGGGGAACGACTCGGACCCCAGTGCCTGCTGGCTTGGAGAACGGTGCAGGGCACTGGGAGCCAACCTCTGCCACACCCCCGCAGGCGGCAGGCCAGAGCCTGCTGACCCCACCATGCTCCCGGCCTGGCGCGCTCTGCTCTGGTGGGGGTGGGCCTGAGGCTCTCTCCTGCAGCTCGGGCCGTACACCCAGCCATGAAGTTGAACTAAAGGCCCCAAGTGTGTCCCAGGAACCTGCCGTCTGTCCCTCTCCTGTGCCCCCCACTGTCCACTGTAGGGTCAAGGTCTACGGGCTGCCACATGGGTATCTTGGCCTAGTGCCTGCTGAGAGCCTCCCTGCTGGCCCCAGGCACCCAGGGGCCCTGGGTCCTCGGAGCTGCGTATGTGGGATGCTCTCCCCACCTCACTGTGCCTACCTGCTACCCTCCAGGTCTGCCGACTGTCCAGGCCACCTGGCTCCCCCACAGCTCTGGTAGGCCCACCCACCATACCTGCAGAACCACCCCTAGCACACCCACTGATGACCACCAGCCCTAGAGGTCTCCCCTGAAGGTGCCCAGCATCTCAGCCTCCCAAAGGGCCTCTCAGGGAGAACCATGAGCCACCTGCAAGACCAGGGTCAGGATCTTGGCCCAGGGCAAGGAGCACCACCCCGAGTGCCGTCCCACTGATGTGAGGAGGTGTCCTGGGCCAGGAGCCCAGGGTCTCTGCTGAGACCAGTCAGAATAGAGGGATGCAGGTGCCACTCGCATCCTGGCCACTGTCCTTCAGACCAAAGCAAGGCTGCCTCCTGGCTCAGGTGGCTCCCTGGAGGAAGGTCTGGGGACATGTCTCCACACCAAGTTCAGATCCTCAGCTTCCACCAAGCCCCCCACAGCCGGGCCTCTGCTGCCTGTTTTTCAGGGAGCAAAGCCCCTCTGGGGGCTGTGGGGTCACTTGCTGTAGCCTGGCAGAGGGGAGGACTAGGGCCCAAGGAGGGTCTGCCAGGTGGGATGGGGCATGGTCATCCTCAGGTTTGGAAGTGGGCCTTGGGCAGCAAGGCCAGGCCCCACCTCAGAGGGCAGATGCTACCCCACAGGGACATGCCTGGGAGTGCAGGGTTCTGGGAGCAGCCCCGTGGTGGGGAGGGGGTGCAGGCCAGTGGCTTGTGGGCTGCAGCGACAGAATCCCAGACATGACAGGAGGTAGCCTGGGAGGGAGTGGTGACCCAGAGACATGGCAGCCACCACCAGCCACCCTGGCAGTCACAAGTGGACAGCTGGGTACTGGATGACACAAGAGTCCAGGCCAGGCTGGAGTGAGGGGCAAGGGCCCTGAGGAGGCACAGGCCTAAAGGCCTCATGACCGCAGCGCCTCCTTCCCCCCAGGCCAAGGAGGCGGCGGCCAGACATCAAGCGCCAGCAGAGCCCCTCCAGGTGCCCTGGGAGCACGGGCACAAGGGGAGGCTGGGCATTTCCCCGCGCTGGCCCTCCGTGGCCAGCTGTGGGCTTTTCTGACCAGATTTGAAGGCAGTCGGTTCCAGGTGCACTTCCCAACGAGCCCCTGCAGAGCCTGTCTGCCGGACGCAGCCCCTGGCCCACCCCAAGTGGAAACCCAGACCCACGGGCCTCTTGCCGCTCCTTGCACCTGGCAGTGGACACATGACTCGATGAGAAGACAAAGCTAGTGACTCGGTTAAGGTCGTTAGGACCTGGGTGGGCGTCTGTGCAAAGATCCACCACTGGCCTTAAACTCGTGCCAGGGTATCAGTGTCGCCAGCCCTGGAAAGGCAGGCAGAAGCACCCTGAGACGCAGCCCCTGCAGCCAGGGCGGCCACCCCAGAACAGGCCACAGAAGCCTGCGCCCTCAGGCTGTCAAGTGGGGACGTGGACTTGCCGTCCACTCGCTTCTGCTGAGAACCAGAACTACTCTAGAAAGTTCTCTCTCTTTTTTCCTTAAAGGTCACAATTCCGGGGAAAACCCAACACCATCATGTCAACTGGGCAATTCCAGCCAGGTCTGCACCCGAAGACAGGAAGTAGGGCTGAGGAGACGCTGCGTGGCCGTGGCCACATCAGCCCCGGGTGAGCGGAAGGCCGTCCACCCCCTCAGCGGAGAGACATGCAGATGCAGGCCATGACAGGCATTCACCTTGGGGACACTGCTCAGGCAGGCAGGCAGGCCGGGCACCGAGGACAAGCAGTGTGTGTCTCTAGCCTGAGGCCCCACGTCACCAGGTAGGAGGGAGGGAGAGGGCAGAGAGCAGGAGTCGGCGTTTGACGGAACAAGGCCAGTTTGGGAAGATGAGGATGTTCTGGGGGTGGGTGACGGTGACAGCGCACAGCAGGGTGATCGTGCCCAGTGCCCTGGACCATGTGCCTAACCACCGTCCCGATGGGGAATCTTAGGTCGTGTCTGTCTTAACCACAGTTTAAAAATGAAAGCAAGCGGGGGCCTGGGGGAGGGAGGAGCGTGGCTGAAGGCACCGGGGTCCCCCTGGGTGGTGGGAGCCCTCCGGAGCTGGACCAGGTTTGTGCAGCCCTGTGGCTAGAATGCCACCAGCCACCAAGTGCAGCAGTGCATGCTGGGACACGTGGGGTGCACCACAGCGAGGTCCTGCCCTGCAGCCTGGCAGCCCCTTGGGTTGGGTGTCCTCTGGTCCTCTAGGCCACCAGCAGCCACAGTATGTGGCCCCAGAGAGTCAGACAGCCAGGACCCAGCTGCCAGCTCGTGGGTCTGGACACTGTGAGGAGAGCCCTGCAGGCCACTGTCATGCAGAGGGCAGTGAGGTGGCCGGCAGGGAGGCTGCGTCCCCTCTGGGAGGGACAACGAAGGAAGCTCACAGAGGCGTCTCTGATGTCACCGTCATGTCATCTCATAAGGAGAAGTTAATTTTAAAGAGAGCGAAACATTAACGACTGAGGATTGAGGACTGGGCCTTACAGAGGGGTGGTCAGGGCAGGAAGGCCCAGAGAGTGAGAGGGAGCGGAGGCCTGGCCAGCCTCTCTGGAGGCCCTGTGAATGCTGAACAGGGCAGACTTAGGGAAGCAGGCCTGCGAGACCCTTGGCTGGAGCTCCTGGCACAGGCCGGGGGGCTGTGGGGTCCTGGGGTTAGGGTGTTGCCCTCCTAAGCCTGGGGGCTTCAATGAGCGGGGGATAATGGTCCCTGTAGCAGAGACCAGCCAGTGGGCTTCAGGGCCAGCTGTTCCAACTCAATGTGGGCCCCGTAAGCCACAGCAGAGCCAGCCTCGGCGTCCCTGGGAGGGTCAGCTGGCCAGGGCGCGACGCAGGCATGCAGGCTGCTCAAAGCGCCCTTTGTCCCAGGGCCTGCCTGTGGCCAGCTGCTCCCAGCCGCCAGCCTATGTGGAGGGCTCCTGGGCCCCGGGTGACATGTGCTGGGCACAGCTGGAGCCCTCCAGCCACGCTGCCGCCGGCCCTGGGAGCACCCTCCCCCATCAGAGCAGCCCTGGCCTGGGGCAGGTGCCATGCTCCCCACCCCACCCCCCATCTGGTCAGGTGAGACACTGGGTGCTGGCACTCTGAGGAGGCAGCGAGGACGGCAGGTCAGTGCAGAGGACAGAGCCAGGACCTAGGAGAGACTCCCTGCCTGCCCAGCCCCCCTGTCCAGTGTCCCTCTGCCTGCCCCGGGGCCCTCCTGTCCAGTGTCCCCCAGCCTGCCCCGGGCCCTCCTGTCCAGTGTCCCCCTGCCTGCCCCGGGCCCTCCTGTCCAGTGTCCCCCTGCCTGCCCAGCCCTCTCTTGTCCAGTGTCCCCCTGCCTGCCCCGGGCCCTCCTGTCCAGTGTCCCCCTGCCTGCCCCGGCCCCTCCTGTCCAGTGTCCCCCTGCCTGCCCCGGCCCCTCCTGTCCAGTGTCCCCCTGCCTGCCCCGGCCCCTCCTGTCCAGTGTCCCCCTGCCTGCCCCGGGCCCTCCTGCCCAGTGTCCCCCTGCCTGCCCCGGCCCCTCCTGTCCAGTGTCCCCCTGCCTGCCCCGGGCCCTCCTGTCCAGTGTCCCCCTGCCTGCCCCGGCCCCTCCTGTCCAGTGTCCCCCTGCCTGCCCTGGCCCCTCCTGTCCAGTGTCCCCTGCCTGCCCTGGCCCCTCCTGTCCAGTGTCCTCTCCCTGCCCCGGGCCCTCCTGTCCAGTGTCCCCCTGCCTGCCCCGGCCCCTCCTGTCCAGTGTCCCCCTGCCTGCCCTGGCCCCTCCTGCCCAGTGTCCCCCTGCCTGCCCAGCCCTCTCTTGTCCAGTGCCTCCTGGTCTGTGAGCACAGCCAGGAGGCTGGGCCGGAGCCTGCCCACATGGTAGTGGAACCTGCTGTGGTTCCGTGCTCCCTTGGGCCCCACCGAAAGCGCATCCACGGCCTGCAGGCTCGGCCCTCCACACCTGGGTGCCCAAGGTGTCCTGAAACGGGCCAGCTTCCTTGGAAGGCAGGGCATTCAGACCCTCTGCCCCAGGGAGTCCTAGCAGGAGAAGACGAGGCCTCTGAGAAGCCGACCACTGGCTAGCTGGCCATCTGAGTGCCAAGAGCCCCGGGACAGTGGCCTTCCCCAGGAGGGGGTTCTGGATGCCACCAGCCATGCATCAGCGGTAGCTCTGTGACCCCACCACGAGGGCAGTACAGATCTGGGGCAACCCTGAGCAGCACAGAGCCACTTTCCCCCGAGAACTAGCCCCACCTGCCAGCTGTCCAGGCGGCCATTCTCCACACTGAGCAGGAGAGGCCACAAGGTTTGCTTGGTCACCATGGGGACAGGCGTTCCCACCCACCCAGTAGCCGGGCCTTTGAGTGTGTGACAGCTGTCCTCTGGTCCTCTCCCAGGCCCCCTCCAGCAGGTGGCATGAGGCTCATGTCCACGGTGGCTCTCGTGGAGCTCACAAGGCCAAGGTCACAGACACGGCCTGTAGGGCTAGGTGGCCCCTGCCCTGTGTTCCACACCCAGGCAGCTCTGGGTGCTGGGTCCAGGTCTCCCTGCCCCTCCCTCTGGCCTATGGGAGCCACGTCCAAAGACCTCACTACACTCTCCAGGCCTAGTGGCCATCCCAGCCAGAAGGCAGCCTTGCAGAATGACGGAAGTGCAGTGTGCTGCCCAAGGGCGCCCCTTGAGCAAACCCCACCTGCAGGCCGGGGCTTGGGTGGTCCCTTCTGCCAGCTCAGGAGCTCGGCTCCAGGCCTCCTCCTCATCTGTCATTTCCAGTGCCTGTCACTCATGCACCACAGATGGGTCAGAGCAGGAGGCGGCCGGGGTGGCCAGCCCTGTGTGTGCATAGTGGGGGGCATCTCTGGGCAGAAAGGGCCAAGACAAGACTCAGGCCACACCCGTGGGCCCAGCATATTCCTGGACCCATTATCAGGGCCAAATGCTTCCCAGGATCGCAGGCTTCTGGGCCCAGCCTCCTGAATAAAGGCTGCCCACCCAGGTGGGGAGAAGGCCCCTCGGTGACTTTAACTCCACATGTGCTGCCGGTGCCTCGTGGAGGCCGACTAGAGTTACATGCATTTCAGGTGGTTTAACGAGGTGCCTCCAGCCCTGGGACCCTGCTCGCTGTGAGCTAGCGAGGTGGGGCTGCCCACGCACTGCCCGTACCTTCCTCCCGGCCTGGGTGTTCTCGAGGTCAGGAGGCAGACAGGGCTTAGCAGCCAGCGACACCTAATGGGGTGGAGGAGGCAGACGGTGCTGAGAAGAGGCCCATAGGCCAGCCCGCTGACCCCGCCCCAAAGTGGGCCCCCAGAGATCCCAAACAAGCAACCGCAGAGGGATGCCCGGCCCAGCACACAAACCAAGCCATGGCCTCAGAGGGCAGGCCCCAGCAGGCTCCACGAGGGGGCACACAGGCACAGGCGCACACGCCTCACTACGGCCGTATGAGGGGTGAAGGGCACCCTCTGCGGAGTTGCCCACGTCACCAAGCCCAGCAGGCACTGTGGGTGATGGCAGGGGATTGGCATCAGCGCTGGATGGGGCAGAGACCAAGGGCCTTCCGCGCTGCATGGTTTAGGGCGCAGCCACCTCGCCACGTCCCCCACGTCACCTTTCTCCTCGATGTCCAGCACAGCATTGCTCAACAGCAGAATAGTCAGCTCCCCCCCCCCATATTCTAACAATGTATTTATGATCACATTGGGTTTTGATCAGAGACTCTGTCCAGTTAAATCTCCCTATTTTGAGATGTATTAAGGTTCTTTAAACAATTTAACAAATTGTTTCAAAAATGTCCTGTGGGCATAAGGAAACAAAATGTCTCCATTATTGGGATCCAGAAATAGAGATCTGGTCTGAAACAGTCCTGGCACTCTCTGCCACTCCTCCCACGGACTCTGGGCTTTGTGACCAGGGGAAGGCAGGAAGGATGCACAGAGGATGTGGCAGTCTCCTGGCACTTCCACCCCCTGGAAGGCTCGCTTCTGAGACCAGCTCTGAGCAATGCAGTTTCAGAACACTCCTGGGAGAGGGGCCTCGTGCCAGCCCTGCTGGGCTCCTGGGTGCCCTGCTGGGCTCCTAGCTGCCGCCATGCAGAGCAAGGACAGGTCTGAGCCCAGCTCAGGCTGCAGGCCAGTGACCTGAGCCCTGGTGGCTGTTTGAAGCGGGGTAAAGTAGTGGACATCTGCTCCACAGCTAGATCATAGGAACAGGTTTTTCAGTTTACTGTTAGAGTAGGGAACTGCTCAGGATCACAACAATTGAGTCTCTGTCCTTGCTTTGTGTCTGCTAGAATTGTTCTGCAAGAGGTGCATAAACCTTCCATGTTTAACCTGCTCTTCCCTGCACACTGGTTTAGCTTTACACAGTTTACGCTGTTAGTTGCCTTAACATTTATATTTAGGCCTCCCCCCATAAGTGGTGCCATCCGTCATCCACACTCATCATATCTGGACTTCACTGCTGACAATAATGTCCTCCCTGTTTTTTTTTCCTGAACTTTATATTTGTATGTAGTTTCTTGGCATATTTTTGGCCATCCTTTTATTTTTCAATAGTCAATTATTGGTTGGGTTTGCTTAATTCTATTGAACGATTCATCTGTTTAAAATAAAAACCAGGGTGGGGTGTAGCTCAGTGGTAGAGCACTTGCCTAGCATGTGCAAGGCCCTGGATTTGATTCCCAGCTGCAAAACAGAAACAAACAAACCACGGATACTCCTGACATTCTCTGTCTTTTAACAGAGGAATTCGGGACATTTATATTTAGTGTACAATTGGATTCATTTGATCTGATTCTCTTCCTTTTCACACTTGAGGTGGTACCTGTTTGGTCCTCGCGCTCTTACATTTCTCAGTCGATGGGCGCACTGCTGCTCCCTTGGTGTCTCGTGAGTCTGGACATCTAACTGCACTCTGAGCTCCACTGGTTCTCTACAGAACTGAACAAGCACTTATCTCAAGTCTGTTTCCACTCCATTGACTTTCCTGAGGCTTCCTTCCAGCGGAGGAGACTTCCTGTGTGGCTTCTTTCTCCCTGCGCTTCACCTCTGTCACTCTGTGGGGAACAAAGCCATCTCCAGCACCACCGGACAGCCAGGCAGGCCAGAGGGTCTCTGTCCTGACGTGGAGGCACAAAGCTCAGCAGAGAACGTGTTGGCAAGCATGGGGTGCATGTGAGGTGACTCTACACTGGCAGGCAGCCTGGCTGCCCTGAGGTTCGTGGTCCCCTGGGTTCCATCATCCTCTGCTGGTCCTGGGTCCGAGCATCCTCAGCCCCCAGCCATGGGCTCAGGTCCCTTCCCTAGCTGTGCCTCAAAGTGGGACCATCTTGGAACAGGGCTGCAGATGTGCCTAGGTAAGATGAGGTGGTGGGGACCAGATTACCGGAACAGGGGGGCCCCCACCCAAGAGGGCTGGTGGCACCGAGGCACAAGGGATAGTGCCACACAAGCACAAGGGCCAAGGCGATGTACAAACCAAGGACCAACCAAGACTCGAGCAGCCACCAGCAAGGGGAGGGGTCTGACAGGCTCTCCCTCGTCCTTCGATGGAGCCACACTGTTAATGCCCAGTCCTGGACTTCTGACCTGCTGGGGCAGCAAGTGGCACCAGGCTGTCACCCAGGCTAGGCCAGAGAGTGGATGAAATTCCTGCAGATGTCCAGAAATGCCTCTCCAGGAGGGGTCCCCACTGCGTTGGTGAGGGCACGCTTGCTCCTGTGGGGGTGTGTGACTTGCCACCTCCCCACACCACGGAACTCCTGCTCTGAGGACGGACTCGGGCATCTGGAGCATCCAGTCCGAGGACCAGCAGGTCAAAGATGCGTGTGTGGAAGGGACACTCTGAGCAGTGGGAAAGGCAGATGGAGCTGCCTGGAGCGCAGGCCCTGAGCCCCGGGTCACACCTGGGGCCTCTGCACACCGGAGCGGCCCCCGTCAGCCACCCTACAACTTGTGGCGGGGGAGCGTGGGCCCCAGGACGGGGAGCTGGCAGGCAGCCTCGCAGTGCTTAGGACATAGCCTCCCCTTCCCAGCAGGCGATTCCCACCTCCAGCCGCCAACCAGGGGCACACTTTCAGGCCACTGCTGATGCCTCCTCACACCATGGAAGCCTCACCCCCCCCCCATAGCTCCCTTAAGTGGGGCTGGAACGGAGAGGGGGGTCCCACCTGGAGCCCACTAAATTGCCCTGGTTAAGAATTTACGCAGGACTTTAAGTCCAGCAAAGCAGAGAGACTGGGGGGGCAGCGCCTGGCTGTGGTGCCTTGTTCTGGACGGGTCCCTTCAGCAGAGGCCACAGTGCTGTGCCCAGATCCCTGCGTTTAGGGCTGCAGAGGCCGGGCAGGGGCTGCGCTGGGCGAGTCCGCGGCCCTCTCGCTGTTTACCGATGGCCGGGTGCCCTGCTCGTTCTGCAGATCTAGAGATTTTAATGACAGGCGGTGAATTTAGACAGTTTTTTTTTTTCCCCTTTCAGGAATGTTTTAAGGGATTGAGAGGAAATTGTGCACGGATTTTGCTGTTTTAAGAGCTAATATGTGAACAACTTCAGAAGCACGGTGTTGTTTTAGGGCTGCAGTTTACACAGTGAGGGGGACACACAGAGCAGCTTGTCCTGGGCTCTGGAGCCTGTCTCCTTGGGTTCACTCCCTGGGGAAGGGGCTGCCTTCCAGGGGAGCAGAGCTAAAAGGGAGCACCAAGTCTGACCCCAGCTCCCACCACATCCTGTGCAGGATGGCTGGGGAGGGACGTGACGCTGGGTGGCCAGCAGCAGGTGGGGTGGCAAGGGGCTAGGAGCAGCTCTGGGGTCCCTGGGGTGGGTCCCCCTGCACAGGGCTGCATTGTGACTCTTGGGGGCCACATAGCCCTAAACTGCTCAGGAACGTCTCCCATGGTGGTCTGTGTCTATATTCAGTGGGGGGACGTCTGCTCCTTGGGGACAAACACCTTTGAAGAGACAACCAGAGAGCCTTGCCTGCTAACTCTAGTGCAAAACTCCCCGCCAGAAACTGCAGGCCCGCAGGGCTTCATGACTCCCCCCAACACCCAAGGGAGAAACGCCAAGCTCCCGCAAGACGGCGGGCGGCCGACACCTCCCAGCTCACTCTGATGCACAGCCAAGGGCAGGATGGGCAAACGGAACAGATGCCACCCTGCGTGGCATGGGTCACGGTCCACAAGTCTCAGCAGGTCCGGGCGCCTCAGGACCAAGCGGGTCTCAGGGAGGGATACAGGGTTCCACTCTGAAATCAGTTGGTGTCGCTCGCTGGGTTCCCAAGCAAGAGGGGAGAGGAGGGCGGCCATCTCAGCAGGGCAGAGGCCGCTGACAGAGATCCAACAGCCGTTCTTGATGGCTCTCTGTTCCCAGCAAACTGGGAAGAAAAGGAATCTAGCCTGGTCAACAGCACCTGCAGAAGCCCCACAGCTAACGTCACTCCCACGGAAAGAGCAGTGCTCTGCCCTCCACGCCAGCAGCAGGAAGGGACATCTGCTCTCTCCTCACCGCCGAGAGTGGAGCGGGAGGCCTCGCCAGTGCTGTCAGGGAGAAACAAGAAATAAAAAGCATATGGATTGGAAAGGAAAAAATAAGATTAACTTTATTTGGGACAACATGATCGTCTCCATAGAAAATCCTAAAGAATCTACAAAAAACAAACAAAAACAAATGAACAGAAATCCCTCTAGAGCTAATTAGGTTAGCAAAGACACAGGACACAAGGTCAATATGAAAAAATCAGCTGTACTTCTACATCCCAGCAGCCAACAGTCCAAAAATGGGATGGAGAAAAGGCGTCACTTAAGCCGCTTCACAAGTACAAAGCACTTAGTGACATATCTAGCAAGTTCTGTGTAATGGGTCCCACAAGCTACACGGCATTCCAGGTATATGGTCGCATGTTCCCGGTCAGAAAACTTGGGGAACGCCGGAGCCCGTCTCCCCACCAGTGCAAGGCCGTCGGAATCCCAGCAGGGTTTCATTTTTTTCATGGAAACCGACGGCTGATTGCAAGATTTACATGAGCATGTGAAGCCTGGCAGGCATCACACTTCTGAAATGAGCAAACTTGGAGGATTAACAGGACCTGATTTCAAGGCTTAGCATAAAAGTCACAGTAATCAGGACAGTGCTTTGCTGGCAGGACAGATCACAAAGTCCAGAAATCGGACCCACACACACGGCCAACTGATTTTCATCAAAGGTGCCAAAGTAATTCCATGGAAAGAAGTTGCTGGGAAGACGGGGTAACCACATGCAGAAAGACTTGACCTCGATCCGTGCCTGTCACCGTACATAAGATCAGACTTGAAATGAATCGCAGATCTAAACAAGAAATGTGAAACTGTAGGGTTTTTACAGAAAACAGGAGAGAAGGCTTTGTAACCTTGGATTAGGCAACTATTTCTTAGAACACAAAAAAATATGAACCTTACAGGGGGAAAAAAAAAGCCTTGATGAATTGGACATCATCAAAATTAAAAACTGCTGCTCGTTTGAAAGATCCTGTTGGGAAAATGCAGAGATGGAGATTGGGAGGAAATATCCACAAACCGCAGATCTACAAAGACTCGCGTCGACACCGCGGCCCCGGCTCCCCCAGCTCAGAACCAGGAAGGCAGCACCCCGCGGTTGGGCTCTGAGTGCCTGGTGGACCCGTGAACGGCACGTGTGCCAGTTAGTCCCCGGGGTGCAGAGGGAGCCCCCACACGAGGGCCGAGACTCAAGACGCAGACAACACTCAGTGCTGGGGAGAGTGTAGCCGCCTCGGCGCCCGCTCGCAGGCCGCCGGCGAGGGCACGGCGCCCACAGCCTCTGCGCAGGCAGCTTGGCAGTTCATCGGGACGGGAAGCGGCCTGGCCACAGGATCCAGCAGCCCCGCTCCCAGGCCCCGGCCCAGGAGGAATGAAGACATGATCACTCCAAGACCTGTGCGCACATCCTGCAGCCCTCGTCACGACAGCTGGACGGGACGGCTCAAGTGTCTGTCCGCCTGTGAACGGATAAACAAACTGTGGTACACTTTATCCTCTCCAAACAAAGGAAACAAACTACTGAACGCAGACCGTGACACAGAGGAGCCCCACACGAGCCGCCGTGCCAAGGGGTGGGAGCCAGGCTCGGGGTGCACGCGGCAGATTCCAACCTCATGACGCCGGAGAGGCGGCGGGCCGCGCCGCCGAGTTCCCTGGTGCTAGGCGCCCCCGGGCGACGGCACTGTCTCTCCCTGGGACCCAGGGGGCTGACAGCTGCATGCATTTGCCAGAACCCCTCGAACTCGACAGGTATCGAGGGGAGAATGGTCGACAGCCCCGAGCCCCAAACAGGAAGCAATTAGGAAATCTTAGACCCACCTAAGACACACACACACACACACACGTGCTCCGGTTGTTTCTTAAAAGAAGTTGTTAAGAGTCGCTAAGTCGAAGATATGGGTTTTGGAGATTAAGAAAAAAAAAAGCAACCCCAAGACACCGAGCCCCCGTCTCCCCCGGGTCCTTCCCAGAAGCTCCTGGCCTTCCCTGGACCGCCCTCGGGGCCACCAGGCTCATGGCCCCGGAGCCGCCTCCCTGCCTGTTCCTGGGGACCTGTGAGGGGTGTTGGCTATGTCCCCCGGGCCCGTCCCAGCATGCTGACCAGGCAAGTGTGTCCCAGGCCCTCCGAGGGGGTGGTGGCAGCTCAGCCCTGCCACTTCCTGCTGCCCCCGGCCCCCGGCTCAGCTGCTCAGGTGACTGCCCAGTCTTCACCCTGTCCACCCCTCCTGCCATCCCCTTTAACCCACATGACCTGGGGAGGGACGCCAGGCCGGGGGCAGGCAGAGGCCGTGGCGTGGAAGGACTCCAGCCAGGGTATGGTGGCCTTCCCCCAGAAGACCAGCACCACCCGGCCAGGCCAGCAGGGTCCCTCCTGTGGGACTGAACGGCGACAGGAACCGCCTGGAGACAGTGAGGGCACAGGGATGACAGGGTGGAGGCTCGGCCTCACTGCCGGAGTGACGTCCGCGCCCCAGCCTGATGTCCCTGGCCCTTGACATGCCACGCTCGTCAACTTCGACTCCAAGTCACCGTCGAGGACCCGGGAACAAGGCCACAGCCAGTCAGCCTGCCTGGGTGGGGGCTCCATGGCTCCAGCTCAGGGCTGTCCTCCCAGGGCCTGTCCGCCCCTCCCTGAGGTCCGCAGGCTTCCCTGCCTCCTAGCATCGAGCCCAGGGCCCTGGCCGAGGTGTGTCCCAGGGCTCTGGGGGCACCAGCCATGGGGGACCTGTGAGCGGCAGCTCAGCCCTGCCACTTCCCTGCTGCCCTCGGCGGCTCCCCAGGTGGCCTCCCCACCTCCCCGTGCCATTCCATCCAACCTACAGCCACCAGGGAGGGGCACTGGTGAGCGGGGGACACAGATGCTGGGTCCTGCTCCATGGGCTCAGGCTGGGGGGCAGGGGTCACAGGCAGGGCCAAAAGCCCCGACTCCACAGGGCCACCCACCCCAGGCGGCACAGGAAAGGGGTGGGCGAAGCTTCACAGGCACTGGGGTCCTACGCCCAGGGAAGGGCCACACAGCACACAGCTGCCCGTGTTCCATCCCAGCTACTCTCCCGGCTGCGCTGTGGGGAGCAGTTCCTGGAGACGCCCTGGACTTGGGCTGTTGCCAAGTTCTCTTTGAGCTGGACCCACCTCGCCAAGACCCCAGTAAACAGCACTTAGCCTCCATCAGGCTTCCAAGGCACCCAAGGGCATAGGTCAAACTGAGGCCCAAGATGCCCCCAGCAGGCCAGAGGGGAGGCGTGGGATTCCAGTGAAGGCCAGCCAAGGAGAGGGGCCCAGCCCAGTGCCCCTTGAGGCTGGGAAGCCTCCTTCCCAGCTTCCTCTCTCCCCCAGGCTCATGTGGCACAGCTGGACAGTGTGGCCTGCTGACAGAGGGCCACCACACTGTTGGGGACCCAGAGCTTCCAGACCAACACAGTCACCAGAATCTGCCCCCTGGGCCTGCTTCCTCAGAGGAAGTGCCGTGGCACTGACCCGGAGCCAGCCCGAGACGAAGAAACCAGGTCCTGCCCGGGCGCCCACACCTGTCACCAAACATCCTCTAAAGTGCTGTTTTTCCAACCCGAGCAGCTCAGGGGCGGGGGGTGCGAGCGGGAGACAGGGCCCCTTTGTTCACTGCCACCGTGTCCTTGCTTTGCCCCGGGATGGAGGCATCCCCCTCAGCAAGTCCATGTGAGCGTGCACACGTGCAGCTCCCGCCCAGCACCCCACGCACACGCCATCACGCGTGTGTGCGCCCAGGAGCACGGTGCAGGCTGCCCCAGGGCGCTGTCCCCAGCCTCCCCACCCCCACACCTCTGGACCCGCTCAGGAGACTCCCCTAGCGAGCGAGCGGCAGCAGACGCGCCCACCCTCCCTGGGTTGCCATCTTGGTGCAGATCCGTTTCTCTGTTTGTTGTGTTTTCTTGAGAAACAAAATCTGGCAGAATCAGCAAAAGACCTTGGCCCACCTCCCTGGAAGAGCTGGGTCTGAGGTGTGCGTCCTGCCTCCAGCTCCCCCAGGTCCAGGCTGCTGGACCTCAGAAGAGGGGTGCCGAACCCTGGTGGCGGATGCAGGGCCCCTGCTCCGGCACCAAAACCGGAGCTGGAAAGCAGCCCAGCCCCTCTTCCTCCTGGACCCCCCCCCACTGCAGTATCTGGTCCTTCACATTCCCAGCGAGACCCCAGACACCTGCAGAGGACACACTGCACCCCGTCCTTGTCACATTCTTAACCAGGTTTACACAGCAGCACTTACACCATTGTAATAATGTACAGAAATAAAACGACTCCAACTGCCGTCTTGGTTTGTTAAAAAATTCCTCTGTGGTCTTACCACCCCCCCCCCAGAAACGCATTGTTTATTTAGCAATTAGTCTACTTTCTATTATTGATTCTCTTTTGAACTCTCATTTAAAAGTAAATATTTATCTTTTTTAAGCACCATCCAACTATCTATAAAAATCCATTGCTATCTCATATTTCTAGATTCACTGTTTTAAAAATCACTGGATAAAGGTCACTAGTTCTCTTTTTGTAATTAAAAAATTTTTTGACCGGCCTTCTGATTACAAGGAAAATAAGAAGCAAGGTCTGCTTTTCTCTCAATAATTTCATGCGTAAGGACATGGGGTCTACACAAAGAAAGCACCATGTGAACTGCTTAAAATATCAGGGTTGCACTCTGAGACCGACTCTCCAGAAATGAGTCTCCTGTCAGCAGGCTTGGAACCTTGTACGAGGCAGACTGACGGGGACGGCTCGTTACCCGTAGTATGTGCAGTGGGGGGTCAGAGGACATGGATACAGACCACCAGCCAGAAAGAGAGGCCGCGGAGAACAGCAACCGAGGAAACGCGCAAGGTGAACCCTGGGACCAACAGCCCTCCTGGAGGTGTCCTGTGAACAGCCCAGGTCACTGTGACAGCCACACATGATCATAAGGGACAGAGGCACAGAACAGGAGCGTCAGTCGTATCAATAAATACAAGGTGCTCAACTGACCCAACAGGGTAAGAATGTCTTAAGGACTCAAAGGAAGGCTCAATAACGTCTCACATAAGAGACGCCTGAGACACTGACAGCAGAGGCTCACAGCGAAAGTAAGTGAAAATGGTGTGCCACGCTAACCCCGATTATTTAATAAAAAAGGAAAAAAGCCAGAGTGGCTGTGTCAATATCAGACAAAGCCGATTTCAGAGCAAAGAAAATTACCAGGGATAAAGAAGACAGCTTCATGATGACGAGCACGACAGTTCATCAGGGGGACAGGCGCCCCGAGTCCCGACTGCCCAGCAGGGAAGCCCTGAATTGCACAGAGCGGAACCCACCAGCGCTGGGAGAGTCGACAGAAGAGTCCTCGTCGGGGCTGGGTACTCAGGCCCCTCACTCAGGGCTGCTGGGGCAGGGCGAGGAAACCACGGGAGGGGCGGTGGGCACAGGCAGCCGAGGCACGCACGAGCCGACATTTACGGAACAGCCCTCCCGCAGCGGGACACACGCACCGTCCTCCATGCCATAAACCAGGCCTTGATAGACTGCAGATATCCCAATCATAGTATTTCCTACAACTGCGAATGTACGGAGGCCCGACCAGCCACCGAAAGGCCCTGAAACACACTTCTGAACACCCCCCCGTTAGAGGGGACGGCCCCCGGCACCATGTGAGAGGGACCTCACTCCCACCTTCAGAGCAGCGCAGCAGCTCCCAGCAGGAGAGCAGAGTGAGAACTGGCAAAAATCAGCAGGGCCCAAACAGCCAAGAGGAGGAAAGTTCAGTGAACCCAGAAGGTGCTTCTCAGACACCAGGGAACTTGCTGAAACTCCAGCTAAACCGATCATTATAAAAAGAAGAAGAAAAAGAGGTAAAAGTTCCCGATTCCAAGAAGCAGCAGCGACATGGCGACCAACGGTACTGCTGTTGGAAGGGTGACGATGTAGTACTACCAACCACCCATGCCCAGAGCACCACCTGGCTCACGGGAAGCAGTTCTTGCCAACGCGCCACGTACCAAAGCTCACTCGAGACCAAACAGTAACCTGTGCCTAGCTGTTCACTAAGTGTAGACCCTAATTAGCCACCATCTCACGAAAACAAATAAACCCTGGGCCTGGGCACCCCGGGGGGTGTTCCTCAACCTGACGGAGGACCTCTACAGAAACCTCCTGCCATGTCTCTCCAGATGGTGAGGGACCGAGGAGCTTCCTAAGAGTGGACATCACTCCCCCGTGCTGCTGAACACTGCTGGGTAGGCCAGCCACTGAAACTAGGCTAGAAATAAACACCATCCAGACGGGAAGAGGGGTAAAAGCATCTCCATCATCGTCTGCGGGAAGCAACAAGAACAGAATCCATGAACGTGGCAAAATTAGTTTGCTAGAACTAACGGTGAGTTTGGCATGATCATGAGACACATGTGCCAAAATGAGCCACGGCTCTAAAAAAGAGAGAGAGAAGTGTCGCTGACACCGGGCAGCCCGCGCCTGTTGACGGCCCTGTGTGCAGCAGAGCTGGGTTTGCAGGCTCTGTGATGACACTCCCCAACACGTAGGAAGAATGAGGCCCGTTCCTCTTAGCCAACGGCGTCAAAAAGAGGTGACACTGGGGGTCTGGCAAAAGGCTTTCAAGACCCAGATACAGAGAACTACCGAGCATCTCCAATGAGAAGAAGGAAGTGGAGGAGAATCGCAAGTGCCACGAGATGCAGGCGCCCACCAGGGTGGTCTTCAGGTCCAGTGTGATCCCAAGAAAACCACCCACCATCCTCCCCAAGGGTGCAAAGACTAACCCACCACAGACCTGAAGCTAAGCACACAAATAAAACTACAGAAGAAAATCTTAGTGACAGATACTTCTTAAATGCGGCCTAAAAGCAAGAAAGATAATATTTAAAAGGAAAAACCACATTTGATAGCATAAAGTTGAAAATTTCTGTCTTAAGAACATGCTATTCAATAAACGAGAAGGCAGGCCATACGCTGGGGGACACCGTAAATCTCAACCATGGACGAGAATATGTAAGAACACCTACGGCTCAATAGTAAGGCCAACAAACGGGTTTTAAAACAGGTGAAAGACGTAGAAAACACATCACCAGTCCCTTGGATGCCAATTAAGTTCATGAAAAGGTCCTCAACGTCATTCGTCACTGGGAAATGAAAACTCAAGACACAAAGAGCTTCCAGGGACCCTGTCAGATGGGCCAGCGCCGAGCCCACAGAGCGGCTGAGCACGCCTGCGTCTGCACGCCCTGCTCAGGGAGGCCAAGGGCGCGGCCACTCTGAAAACACAGGGTCAGTCTCGTAAATAGAAATACGCCCTCTGTGTTTTCCGGCCATTCTGTCCTTGTACATTTACCCACGGAGAAAGGACATGGGGGCCTCATACCAGCCACCCTCTTACGCAGGTGCCAGCCGTGGAACCCAGGGAGAAACAGTGATTCCTGAATTCCTGGGGTGAAGGGCACCTCTTCACGGACTCGAGAGCTCCTAAGTGGGCCCCACTCAAAGAAGTCACCCTGAGCCTGAGGTGGACAGAGCCCCGAGTCCAGGGGACTTTTCCAAGTTCAGTAGACACCGAGAGCAGCAACACAAAACCCCCAGACAGCGAGGGTGCCCTGGTGCCCTGGTGCCGTCCCTAAGCCCCAACTCCTGTAGCAGCTGCTGAGTCCGGGAAACTCGCTGTTGGCAAGACTGAGCAGGGACCGAGAAAGGACGGCCCTGGTCCCCACCCCCCAGGGCAGCAGCAGCTCCCCCGACCCTCCCCAGCTGGCCTGGAGAACCGTCAGGGAGAAGAGACACAGACCCAGCTAAAGAAATTTAAAATGAAATAAAGATGCCTGCCCTTCCCCCGGCCCCACCACCCTGCTCTGAATGCACGGATTATTCTCAGCACACGCTGCTCGGAGACTGACCAGATCACCGCCCCGCCAGGAGAAGGGCGGCCTGTGCCTCTCGGCACACACTTGACATTTTGTTCTCGTTCGGGCTTCCCGTGCCGACAGTTTCTGGATTAAATGTGCAAATGGAACGCGGCCCCACGGGGGTCTCGCTCCCCGCCGGCTGAGCGCCAGGGCTGTATGCCTGCGTGCACGTGTGCGTGCAGGCACGTGTAGGAGCCTGAACATGCTCACACACGTGAGCACATCCACATGGGGCCCGTGTACGTCCACGCGTGTGGCTGTCTGGGTGCACGTCTGTGGTCACCCTCCTCAGCTGGGGGTCCGCCCAGTTGCAGCCTGCCCTTCGCCACCTTTACCAGCTGCCCTTCTGCTCAAGCGCTTGTTTGCCACAAAGGATTTTTCTCTGCCCTGTGGTGACCAGGTCCACCTGAAGCCACAGCAGCCTCCACGAGGGGCTCCTGCCTCACAGCACCATCCAGAGCCAGGCACGCACCCTCCACGCAGCCAGCACCCTGCAGGACTGCTGTTCGTGGCAGAGAGTGGCTTGGGGAAAAGACCAGGCCCCCAACTGCCACAGCCCCAAAGACACTCAAGGGCGAAATCCACCCCCACCCCCAGCCCAGGAGCTGACCGCCAGCTCCAGACACACTGGCTGGCCCCGGGCTCAAGAGCATCTCCCACCAGCTATGAAGAGGCCACTGTGGCCCCTCCCCCAGCCCAGGGACCCCACTTGCCCCACCCAGCATCCCTGGCCATGGCAGGCTTTGAGACTGGGGACAGAATCTAGTGGAAGGAGCGGCTGGGCCTGGCTCTGAGGGCAGCCTGGTGGAGCGGGGGCTCGGGGACCTAGGTGCTTGAGTGGCGGCCCCTCGACCCTGCAAGGCTGCACTGAGCCCCTTCCCCCTCCCACCACGAAGTCGCACAATGACATGCTTCAATGGCGCACAGCCAGGGCCTCTGGTTTTCCTTCTGTGTGACCTGGGGAGGCCAGGAACGTGATCGGAGCTCTTCTGAGCGTGGTGCCCCGGGGGACTACTCAGGCCCCTGCCTAGCCCCCTCCCCAGGCCCCTGTCCGCAGCACAGCACTCAGGCAACCCACTCCCCCGGCGGACAGCTGGCAGGCCCCACCGTGCCGTGCCCCACAGCCACAGGGACCCGCTGGGCTCATCCTCTTATCCCCAACAACTCCCCCCGGCAGCCCCAGGCGCCCCACGGGAAAGCGGGTGCCAGGGCGGCCTGTGCAGCCCCCCGCTATGTTATGTCAGCTGTTACCCTGCGCTTGAAGCAAGGCTCTCCAGCTGGCCGGGTCAGATGTAAAAACAAGGACCTAACAAAACCCGCCCCCAGCCACTCGGAGCCCGAGACCCCCACCGAACATGGCACTTAGTGACGGGGTTC